GAAAAAAAAAAAAAAAAAAAAAAAAAGAAAAGTCACAAAATTAGAAGGGTCTGAGGAAACTATGCTATCCAGCTCTATTGTTCTCAATATAGGAACTGACCTTCAAGACCAGCCTGGCAATGAAATGAGACCCCATCTCTAAAAAAGAAAAAAAATCAGCTGGGCATAGTGGCATGTGTACTCCAAAATAAAGTGCCTAAGTTGGAGGATCACTTGGTCCTAGGAAGTTGAGACTGCAGCTAGCCAAAGTCATGCCACTGCACTCCAGCCTGGGTGACAGAAACCCTGTCTTTAAAAAAAAAAAAAAAAAAAAAAGAAGTAGACAGTGAGTAACAGGTATTTTGACTACTTAAAGTTGTCATGTGGACTAAATCAGATAATGTACATGAATACATTTTATTAAGTCTGGTAATTACCTGGATTTTAGAAACAAGTTTCAAAAAAGGCCAGCTGTCATCATGTCGTACCAATTCTACAACAAGTTGTTCAAAAGCAGACAACTCATGAACTCCTCCCTGTCGGCCAGAACTCCTTCGACTCAGTGTCATAGGCGATGACTCTGAATAAATAATTTAAACATTTTAGGTGATAACAAAGCAAAATATTTGTTCACTACAAGCCAAACTGGATGTATAAATACCACATTCAAACAAAAAATAGATACTCCATAGACTGGGATGTTAAATATTTTCTGAGAGAGATGAAAATCTGGGCAAAATATTATTTCCTTTTGATCTTAAAAATGACCAATTGAGGCTGGGCGCTGTGGCTCACGCCTGTAATCCCAGCACTTTGGGAGGGAGAGGTGGGCGAATCACGAGGTCAAGAGATCAAGACCATCTTGGCCAACATGGTGAAACCCTGTGTCTACTAAAAATACAAAAATTAGCCGGGCGTGGTGGCATGCACCTGTGGTCCCAGCTACTCAGGAGGCTGAGGCAGATGAATCGCTTGAACCCAGGAGGCGGAGGTTGCAGTGAGCCGAGATTGGGCCACTGTACTCCAGCCTGGCAACAGAGCAAGACTCTGTCTCAAAAAAAAAAAAAAAAGTCCAATTGAATTAAACATTCATTGAGAATAGATTTTCAGAGTGTGATGCAAAAGAAAAATCTAGAACACAAAGTTTGTGGATTATTTTTACTCAAATTTATTAAAAATACTTTTCAGCTACAGTTAACTGAAACTAAGCAATTCTCTAGTATTTCCTAAAGTATATTCTTTAGAAAGTAATTTCTTCAGATGTAGACACTAGGGTTATATGTAAATTACCTTGCATAATGGAAAAGCAATTCTCACTAGTAAACGATTATTCTTACAGAGCTTAATTTTATTTATTTATTTTAATTTTGAGACAGAGTCTTGCTTTGTCGCTCAGGCTGGAGTGCAGTGGTGTGATCTTAGTTCACTGCAACCTCTGCCTCTGGGTTTAAGAGATTCTCCTGCTTCAGCCTCCCAAGTAGCTGGGATTACAGGTGCCTGCTACCACACTCAGCTAATTGTTGTATTTTTAGTAGAGACAGGGTTTCACCATGTTAGACAGGCTGGTCTAGAACTCCTGACCTCAAATGATCCACCTGCCTTGGCCTCCCAAAGTGCTGGGATTACAGGCATGAGCAACCACATTTGGCCATAGATGTTAATTTTAATATCTAGAAAATGTTCTAAAGCAAATGCTTTCTCACAGACCTAGAAATGTATAGTATAATGAAATCTAAAGTATATAATGGTAGAAAGGGTAGTATAGTCCATATATGTATCCAGATGTCTAAATTCTCTCCTGGCAGGGTAGGTCCACACATTTCCCCTTTTATTTGTCCTTAGTACAGGCTTAGCAATTTCACAAATCAGTAACAACAAGAAATTTTTCTTCCATAGTTTTTTGAATAAAAACATTTCAATTATATTATTTCTCCAAAATAGCTTGGAGAATTGGGGAAAAGCAAAACAGATAAGGGGATAGGAAAAGCTAAATTAGGTCTTTACTGGTGCAGAATTATGTGACACTTCCCCTAAAAAACGTTACAATCTCATGACTGCATAAACAGATTACATGCCATTCTTTCACCAATTATGTCCTTAATCCTGCTGTGTAAATGAATAATGCAATATAACATATCTAAAATTCTATAAAGAACAGTGGCTTTTTTTGAGAAATAGTGGCATTTTTTATGTTTAAGTTCATTAAAAAACAACAACAACAAAAAAAATAGGCCTGGGTGTGGTGGCTCACACCTGTAATCCCAACATTTGGGACACTAAGGTGGGATAGCTTTGAGCTCACAAGTGCAAGACCAGCCTCGGCAACATGGCGAGACCCCGTCTCTACAAAAAATACAAAAGTTAGCCAGGCTTGATGGTGCATCCCTGTAGTCCCAGCTACTTGGGAGGCTGGGGCTGGAGGATAGCTTGAGCCCGGGAAGCAGAGGTTGTAGTGAGCTCAACTGCGCCACTGCATACCAGCCTGAGCGACTGGTATAATAGTTAACAATAAACTTAAAAAACCAAAATTTTACTACTAACATTTAAAACAAGGGATAGGATTGAAGAGATTATGAATCTATGAGTAAAGAGATTTGTCTATGAATAATGATTGCTATAAACAAAAATGAGAAAAAGACAGCTGAGGCCAGGAGTTCAAGACCAGCCAGGCCAACAGGGAGAAACCCCGTCTCTACTAAAAATACAAAAATTAGCCAGGTGTGATGGTGCATCTCTGTAATCCTGCTACTCAGGAGGCTGAGGCAGGAGAATCACTTGAACCCAGGTGGCAGAGGTTGCAGTGAGCCAAGATCACACCACTGTACTCCAGCCTGGTCAACAGAGTGAGACTCTGTCTCTAAATAAATAAATAAAATAAAAAATACAAAGACAGCTGGTCATCAGTTCCTAAAAATATTACTGCTTCTAACTCTCCCTTTCCCCCAAATTCAGTATTAGAGATGAGAACCTTACTAAATAACCTGATGCAGCTTGTCTAGGTGATGATGAATATGTGCATTTTGAGGGAGGAAAAGGTAGGAGAGAGTGAAATATGTTATAATGTAGTATGCTGACACTCTTCAAATACTGGCCAAATATCTCCATTAAAAACAGAACACCATTTTCAAGTTTATTACCCTGCTTCACTAGTAGAAAGGCTAGTAATATAATTTACCTTTATTCATTAAATAGCTGCCCCTTCAACGACTATTATGTTTCAGGTCAGACTATTCCCTAATAACTTTGTGTATCTTAGTGACAGACTTTGAAAAATGATCCAAAACATCTTAACATGCAATATGTCCAAATTATTCAATTTTCCTAGGGAAGGAAGAGTTTAAATTAGATTTCTTCATACCTGGAGATTGTCTTTTTCTGCATCTTCTTTTGGATTCACTCTCTTGGAGAGAAAGTTTTGAAGCAACATTTAAAGATCTTGATTGTTCACTTGACTTTGTGGCAATGACTCTGAAGTTAGGGAAGTTGGGGCTATTTTCTGGTGTATTATTAGCACTTCTGCCTCTGCGTTTTCTACGAGGACTAAGTAATTCCACAAATACATCTGCTTGCAGTGGGCCATGACTGTGGCGAGTAGAACGACTGGCAATTCTTACAGATTTCGTTTCTGTAGGAGGAGCAGAGTTTATCTTTCTTAGGCTTCTACCAGTTTTAGAAGAAACAGTTGTTTTGGGTGTATTCTGCTGACTCCTTGAAGGGTATCTTCCAGGTTCTTGTTGTTGGCCACGACTTGAGAAAGAAGAACTAAGTCTCCCTCTTGTTTTAACTGGCAATCTAACTTGTGGTCTTCCTCGTTTGGGTAGGCTATAAATATTGTTAAAAAACACAATTATTGTACAGAGCAATGATGAACATATGATTAACTCTATTCTCCTTGTTGTATTTAGCCAATGAGTTTATATACATTTTCTATTTAACTGAGACTTACTCCTAGACTCAATTCCTTAGAGTCAACAAGTTTTCAAGGAAATCTTAAATGTGCTTTCATGTATTTCTTTGAAATGCAAAGAGAATATCTGCAAAGAGAAAATTTCATATTTTCTTTCTTTTTTTGGGAGGGGCAGAGTATCACTGTCATCCAGGCTGGAGTGCAGCAGCACGATCACGGCTCACTGCAGCCTGACCTCCCTGTGATCAGGTGATCCTCCCATCTCAGACTCCTGAGTAGCTGGGTGTGTACCACTACGCCTGGCTAATTTTTGTAGTTTTTTTTAGAGACGGGGTTTTGCCATGTTGCCCGGGGTGGTCTCAAACTCCTGGACTCAAGTGGTCTGCCCACCTCGGCCTCCCAAAATGCTGGGATTACAGGCACAAGCCACAGTGCCCAGTCAGTATTTTCTTGGTAACTTCAGGACATCATCATGAAAATCAAGTCCTAACTTCTGATAAATTGTAGTAATATGCTCAGGAGAACCAACAAATAGACTTAGTCAATCATGTTGGAAAACTTAAGGGTAATGAACTAATCTTAAAATGAAATTCTTTTGTTTCCTTTTGCTACAGGAGACTGCCACTTTTCATTATCATTGATACTGAGGTAACCTACAGTTTTAGCCAATGGCTGCCAATGAAGTGGGCCTTGAACCCATGGTTCCTAAATACCATACCAAGAACCTCTCTGTTGTCTTCTGACTATAAAATACAAAACTATATTTAATCTTTTAACTGTTTTTAATTAAAAGGATGCAACACCTCCATTAAACCTCATTATCCATCTCCCCATATACCTGGACTTCGAGTTTATCCTGCGTACTTGCAAGAATTTTTCACATTCTTTATCATCTTTATGCTGAACATAATACTGCCCTCACAAGCTACAGGGAAGATGGCTCTTCTAGCTGTTATTTCTTAAAACCTCGTTTAAAACAGATGTGGTGGTTCTACATTAACTTCTCCGACTGTGGTCCTTTTGTACTCTGACAGTTCTAGGTTACCCTTACTTCATACTCATTTTCCTGCTTCTCTAAGAATGGGGTTCAAATGTTTAAAAAAAGGGTGGGGAGGGGAATGGTAAGAACAAGGAGCACAATGACTTCCCTGGTGTGATGGCTATGGTCAGGCCTGCTGACAGAACACCCCTAGTAGATCTGTGTAGCTTACAGCTACCAGTTAGACACAAGCACACCTCATTTTATAGTGTTTTACGCATCACTGCATGCTATAATTACAAAGTTTTCTTCTTCTTTTTTTTTTTTTTTAAACAAACTGAAGGTTTGTGGCAACTCTGCATCAAGCAAGTTTATTGGCATAATTTTTCCAACAGTATGAGCTAACTTTTTGTCTCTATGTCAGATGATTGTTAGTATTTTTTAGCAATAAATTATTTTTAAAGTATAAAAATGTACTTTTTTTTTTTTTAGACATAATGCTACTGCACACTTAGGAGACTATAATGTAAACATAATTTTTATATGCCCTGGGAGACCAAAAAAATTTGGGACTTGCTTTATTGCTGTCATCTGGAATTGAACTGGCAATATCTGTGAGGTATGCCTGTATATCTACCTTGTGGATATAAATGTCCCTTTATTTCAGACTCAACCAGAGGTTCAAGTAAGGGGAGACTGCCCCAGTGCTGTCACAGAAGGAAATACCCAGGCTCCATACTCATTCATTAGGCCTGAATGACACAGCATGCCAAGTTGCAGAATACTTAGTTATATGGTAGTATAGAAGCTGTTTCCAGGTGCTGATGTGGCAGGAGTATAAACATATAGTGCACTTCCTGGCATTTATCTATCACTCTGAGATTCCCCAAATTATCAATACTACCTTGGGAATAGTTTTGAATGTTTATAATATATAGAAAGCAAGGGTAACTTCAGGCCATTACATATTAGTTTTGTTTTGTTTTGTTTTGTTTTGGAGATGGAGTCTCGTTCTTGTCACCCAGGCTGAAGTGCAATGGTGTGATCCGTTATCTTGGCTCACTGCACCTCTGCCTCCTGGGTTCAAGCAATTCTCCTACGTCAGCTTCTCTGCTAGCTGGGATTACAGGCGCCCACCACCACCTTGGCTATTTTTTGTATTTTTAGTAGAGACAGGATTTCACTATGTTGGCCAGGATGGTCTCAAGCTCCTGACCTCAGGTGATCCACCCACCTCAGCCTCCCAAAGTGCTGGGATTACAGGTGTAAGCCTCTGCGCCTGGCCTTTATATTAGTTTTAAACCAAGTTACACACCCTAAGTATTCCATTTGTATTTGAATAGTGGAGAAATTGCCTAAGACTTACTGACTTATTTTATTGCATATTAGGACTTACCTGACTTCTTCCTCTTCTTGAGAGTCATCTTCATCGTGTTCCATCTCATACTCTTCCTCCTCACTTTGACCCTCTTCTTCATCACCATCAACTTCATCATCCTCACCTCCCATACTGTCTTCCACATCTTCATCACTTTCCAAGGATGGTCTCTGTCTAGAGGAGAGTCTTCTAGAACGTTGCTTTGGTCGACATTCTGGACAAAACCAAT